CCTTAGAACATGAAACCGAAGTCTCAATTGCAAATTGTCATGACTGGCCCATCCATCAAACCGGAATCCAACACTGCTTCGGGGCGTAAATAGGGAGGATTGTGATATCTCCAGTATGGACTTACGTACCGACAGCTATTACACAAATAAATTGGGTATACTTATCTATTTTGAATAAAACCTTCATTCTTAAAGTGCTTAAATTGAACTAATTTAATATAAGCTAAGCCTAACTATACACAGTATTATCTGCAGTATTATCAGCATCTTATATAAAATTTCTTGGAGGGAGCTTCTTCATTCCGACTAAGACAAAAACCTGATGTCTCAATATCAAGCAGGTCTTGAAATTTTATACATGAATACAATCAAACCCTAAATTTTACGGAACCTGTTAGGATTACATATTAAGGAAATATTACATATTATATTATGTTTAAAAGGAACAGGAACAAATTCTAATAAACATTCAACACCCGATAGGCAATAAGCTAATCTGCCCATCTAAGCATGAAACAAACTCTTGAAAAGAAATTATACGAACTGTAATCGTTATTATTATATTCTCAAAGTCGTATTACAGCAATATAAATCCATTTACGAGATTCCCAGTCTAATTCAATATACGAAACGCCTGAGATCCTAAACGAGATATAGGTTCGAGTTAAGTGAAGTGTGAACGCTATTAGTGTTATTACTAAGGAAATTAAGTTGTAAGTTGTCGTGGCCTAAAGGACTACGTCCGGTACATTCGTATGTAGCGATGCAACGGTGTTCGAGTCCCGCAGGCGGGTACCAATTTTTCTAATGAAATACGTACTTAACAAATATTCACGATTGACTTCCACGGTGAAGGAATGACATCGTGTAATAAAAATCAAACCCGCAAAATTATAATTTGCGTAATTACTGGTGGTAGGACCTCTTGTGAGTCCGCACGGGTAGGTACCACCGCCCCTCCTGTTTCTGCCGCGAAGCAGTAATGCGTTTCGGTTTGAAGGGTGGGGCAGCCGTTGTAACTATACTGAGACCTTAGAACTTATATCTCAAGGTGTGTGGCGCATTTACGTTGTAGATGTCTATGGGCTCCAGTAACCACTTAACACCAGGTGGGCTGTGAGCTCGTCCACACATCTAAGCAATAAATAAATAAAAAATTAGTCGTTAATGACTAAAATACTAAGTCGCCTATAAATCAATTTTTCAAAGGCCAAATTGCATTGGAATAACAAAACGTCTGACCCTCAACCCACATCCAATCGCTTTACGTTAAAAATAGCCAAAATTTTTCTTTTCTCTCCACCACGAAATTATCCATTAGGTAAATAACCAACAGTTTTGTACCTGTATCAGGAGTTGATTCGTTTTTAATTAAGTTAAGGATTTCGAAGAATAAAATTGTTTGTTTATTTTAAATTATCTATAGGGTTATAAGAAAAACAAATTGTCAGAATTGTTTTATATTGTAGACAAACGCATTAAGATATGCAAATGCTAAGTGTATATTCCAGCGTTATCTTCGCTAGGAAGCGACGATGTTCGTTCAATGGAGGCTGTATCGGAGATCTTTTCGGATAACCAAGACATTACCGTGATGAGAATACAAGAGTCGAGTAGCTAAGGAGTTGTTGCGACGAAGAATCTGAATATACAATTTCATTATTTTTGAAGAACATGAACAAATTAACCGTAAGACATTTGTTTAAAGTACACGCGCAGTTTCTTATAACACTTTATTGGTACTGTGTTACTAAGCAATCGATTATCGATCTCTAAATGCGAACGAGTTCACGACCCTATAAATCCAATCTTGTTTATTGGTGATACAATACGTTTTTAATTCGCAGGCGGGTCGGAACCAGCGTCCTGTATAATATTGCCGCAAAACGTTGTAAAAATCAGAGCTTGAAGGGTTAAATTATCGTTATCCTAACTCCATTGAGAAACTTCGATGTCTTGTCTACTCAGTCTGGTGACCATTGCGTTGTGGAATCTAAATACTCCAGCAGCTCATCGGTTCAGACAATGAGTTCGTTACTGATCCTCATAAAAGCATTCATATGAGGTATGAGTGAATTAATAAGTAATAGTTTTTCTGCATCCAAATATCTTTCGTCAAATTTTCAAAACTAGTTCATCCTACAAAACCATTGTCATATTCAGTTCAGCTGTGGTTTCAAAAGGCTATTCAGAGACCACACAATACTGCGTCACGTGAATGGTGCGCGCCATTCTATGGTTTAGGCTGAAATAAAAAGGAATATATAGGAACAGGCTTAGTTTTGTTTACTGAAAGAAACCAAAAATTGGATTTAGATTTAATACCTAAGTCGGATTTTAGTACGTCAGAGGTGTATTTCTTTGCCAAACAATTTTTGCCCTTAATTCAAGCACATAGCACAGTACGATCAATAATGAACGCGTTTCTTTTTAAAATGTCGTACAATCAAAGCCCATTTTTTCCACAAAGCCAATTGTTAAGCAATCCCCTAAGCTAGTTGTCCACTTGTAAGAAGTTTCATTGTTAAGTTGTAAGCACTGTTGCGCGATTAAAATAAATTCCGGAAGTCGAGACGATAATAAGAAACTACCTATGTCATATAATACAAATATTGATTGGCTAAGTTCATAAAAAATTGTGAATCCGCTACGTACGTAAGGCGGAAACAACTCGCCGACGCCGCACCAATGTTGTCTCCTCGAGCTGTACAGATTTCTTTTTAATTACACTCCGCGCTTCGTGAAAAAATGTTGATATTTTTATTATTACGTAGACGGGTGAATGAACTCACAAACAACTTGGTACACATACTGGCACACATACTATTACTGGTGGTAGGACCGCTTGTGAATCTGCGCGGGTAGGTACCACCACCCTGCCTATTTATGCCGTGAAGCAGTAATGCGTTTCGGTTTGAAGAGTGGGGCAGCCGTCGTAACTATACTTGAGACCTTAGAACTTATATCTCGAGGTGGGCGGCGCATTTACGTTGTAGATGTCTATGGGCTCCCTCAACCAATTCACACCAGGTGGGCTGTGAGCTCATCCACTCATCTAAACAATAAAAAAAACATAATCGGAGCCCATACACATCGCAACGTGAATGCCATCACTCTCCTCGATTTTTTTCCCTACGTATGCTGATAGCCTTGAGAGGCTATTTCAGCTTCTCCTTGACGTGTAGGTGAGCTCAAGGGGCTCAAACCGGTGTGTTGCTAACACTGGCCCTAGCAAGAGCAGTGCTTCGCAGAATCTACCACCGGATCGGAAACGCAATCCACTGAAAAGATCGTACTTAACAAATGTTCACGATTTACTTCCACTGTGAAGGAATAACATCGTGTAATAAAAATCAAACCCACAAAATTACAATCCGCACGGGTAGATACCGCCACCCTGCCTTTTTCCGCAGTGAAGCAGTAATGCGTTTCGGTTTGAAGGGTGGGGCAGCCGTTGTAACTGTACTGAGACCTTAGAACTTATATCTCGAGGTGGGTGGCGCATTTACGTTGTAGATGTCTATGGGATCCAGTAACCAGTTAACACCAGATGGGCTGTGAGCTCGTCCACCCATCTGAGCAATAAAAAAAATTAGGCGATCAAGGCACTACACACCAAAAAGTCTTTCGAGAAACGTATCAATCGCAAAGCAAGCCTTATGCTATTGCCCCACCACCGACAGATCCCATAACCTAAAATCAAAACATGAAGGAACCTTGCGGCATCTGTTGTCGACATTGAAAACTAATTCGCGATTGTAATTCAAACGATTTGTGGAGATAAATGTGATTTTTCCTTAGTCATGGTAGATGGCGTTGAAATAAAAAAGCTCCAAAGAATTCTGATTGGTCCAATGGCACCTTATGGTTATTTAAATTTACCCTGAAATATACAGAATATCAGGTTTATTTGATGTTCATGCTAAAAACTTTTCTGGCTATTTAAATAAGTGCATCTTTTATGTTTATATATCTGAATACATTGGTAGTGAATTTGGACCACACCTAGGGCCGATGTAATATGGCGACCCCTCACACGTTATCTTATTACTAGACCCTAGACTAGGCTCTAAAAAGCGCACAGAATTCGTAATAAATTTAAACCACTTTAGTGCAATTTCATTTCATCACACGTTTCGTTCCATTTCATTTAATCCGCGTATAGTATTACATTTTCAGATAAATGAGCTTCATTTCATTCTGCTCCATTTTTTCATAAAACAAAGTAATCACATCAGTAATCAAATCAAAGTTATATCTCTATAAAAATTCAGCAACAGCAAAACGGAGCCAATCGAGTATTACCATAACGCTTATTTATCTCTTCAAACTAACAACCAGAATGATGATAATGTTTATATAACTCTCTCTTGCATTTTTATATGAGGGTAAGTAGTACGAAAAAGGTCAAGGGGCCATATTTTGTGACACGGTCACGTACGGAGGATTTATTTTTTTAAGTTTAAGAGATTACTGGTGGCCCGGAGGCCTTTCCAGTTTTACCAGGGCAGGTGAGCAAGCAAGGGCTCAGACTGGAAGGGTGGGATTTACTAACAGCTACCCGAGCGCCTCCAAAGGAGACCTAACAGCTCAAGAGCAGCTGCTTCGCGAATGAATCTACTACCGGATGGGAATCGCGACCCGCTGAGGAGATCCGGCGAGAAACTCAACGGGCTGATGTCTAGGTTAGGTTGCATGTCGAACTCTTTGCCGAGTTCGACGAGGACGGTTACCGGGGTCCTTACTCCTAGTGTTAGAGCTAAAGGTATGTAATGCAAGGGTTATTGGATCTGAGGGATCCGTAAGGACGTGTCGTTTCATTTTACTGTTTGATTGGTTCCTTGAGTTTTACCTTAATTGTCATAAAATCGTACATAAAACATATGATCTGAGTGTACATAAGATTCCCTTTGAGGGCATAACTGTTATTTTCTTTAACAATGTTTCACTCCTGGTTCCTAAAAATACAAAATAAGGCATCTTTTAAAAAAATTAATTAATAAATTGAAACACTTTATTGAGGAATATAACATATAGAGCTACATATTTATTTCCATTACTCAAAACGATTTTTCTATTCTAAATGTAAACTGCATCTTCGGATCCGAATAGTCGTATGTCGAAAGAAATTTTGTTTGAATTTATGGTTGGAAACTTATTGTTTTCAATCATAAGATTATTTTTCTAAGTATCTTACGTCGACATGCAATTATTTAGATTTAAATGTTGTTAACCTAACATTACAATAAAAGAAATTATACATTGATCCAGTGACAGTCAGCAGGTACAGTCGGTCTGTTTACACGCGTCCAGTGGTTCGTACTGAGTTGTACTGGCCCGGCGCCCACTGTCGCCAGTCGCTGGCTCACTGTACATCTCTACTAATTCAACATTGTGTAGATCTTATCTTAATCAAAGAGACTAATACTTTGTGTTTTGATTTGTAATTTAACCCTAAATTCACTATTATTTAAGCAAAATGCTTTTAACTAAAAGTAGTTCTAGAATTAATATTTGTTTTAAAGTTAAAACATTTTAGAATTTTAACTCTAAAACAAAACGTAAAAATCTTTGGAATGGCTAATTTAGAGATCCAAATTGTGTATTAATCTTAAAGTGCTAGTATTAATATGTAAAATAGGTACTATTTACGAAATACAAGGTGACAAAAAAACAAAAACAATCTTTAACATAATAAAAATAATCTTTTACACAGCAGTTACAAAATTAAATAACACGAATAGTTGAACTAATTAAACTTTCAATAATAAATAGAAGAATATGAACTAGTTACGTATAATTCAGTACGTACCTATCATTACATGTCTGTATCTGGTTTAAAGAAAATCCAGACTGCATTTAGTATTAATACAAATTAAACTTTATTTCAATACGATATTAAGCTACAGTTTAGTATGGAGTATTGAAGATATTTCTTTAATTTATTCATTTGAGTATTTGTAGATAATGGCACAATAACTCACAAACATTGCCCCGCGGTCTTAGAACGTAAACTCAATAAATTTTACGTCCAATACTGAGAATGACATTGTGAAAATTAAATATATTTTAAAATTAAAATAAAATAATTAAATAACTTCAAAGCTTAATGCCTTTAATGTATTAGCTTCAAAACCTTTGCCTTTAATGCCTTTTTTGTAGTAATGAAGGAAAAACAAATATTATAACATAATACTAAATACAAAAAGACAGAAGACAAACTTATAAGTTTAGTCGTACCTTTATAATAAATCTTAAAGACTATCCACCTAAAGGTTCCAAATATAATGATTAAAAGTATTGTGTGTGTGCGTTTGCAACGTATTTAGGGTTGATTGGCCTTCTGCTCCTGCTGCAGCAGCTGAGCCAAGTTGGAGATCTCTATCTCCTGGACGTGCCGACCCGAGAAATGGATGTAGTCGTGAGACAACGCGTCCACTGAACGCTTGCGAACTGGAACACAGACGAGGCCGGAATTACAATTTGATTATAAATTATTTTACGGCGCAATCAAGTGGTGGTACAAATTTTAAAAATCCGGTTTGTTTATTATCCTATTTCACCTGGAAATTTGTAAAGAGAAGAATTTAAAACAAAGTAAAAGTGTCCGGTCTTGTATTTTGGAATCTGGCAATACCGTGGATACGCACTATTGCTGTGTCACTACATTAAGTCAACATTAATAATTATAGCAAATTGGTTTATTCGTTTCTTCTACAACTATGCGTTTGAATAGGCTTTTCGCTCTGTGATGTCTGGCTAGAATAGCACCTCATATTCCACCTTTTTTTTTCTTTTTTCTTACCTATGCTGATAGCCTTGAGGGGCTATTTCAGCTTCGTCCTAAGTCATCGTGGCCTAAAGGATAAGACGTCCGGTGCATTCGTATCTAGCGCTGCACCGGTGTTCGAATCCCGCAGGCGGGTACCAATTTTTCTAATGAAATACGTACTCAACAAATATTCACGATTGACTTCTACAGTGAAGGAATAACATCGTGTAATAAAAATCAAACCCGCAAAATTATAATTTGCGTAATTACTGGTGGTAGGACCTCTTGTGAGTCCGCACGGGTAGGTACCACCGCCCCGCCTTTTTTATATGATTGAAGTATTACTGGTGGCCCGGAGGCCTTTCCAGTTTCACCAGGACAGGTGGGCGAGCAAAGGCTCAGCCAGGAGGGGTGGGATTTGCTAACAGCTACCCGAGCGCCTCCGACGGAGACCTAACAGCTCAAGAGTAGCTGCTTCGCGAATGAATCTACTACCGGATCGGAATCGCGACCCGCTGAGAAGATCCGGCGAGAAACTCAGCGAGCTGATTCATGGGTTAGGTTGCACGGCAAACTCTTTGTCGAGTTCGACAAGTACGGTTACCGAGGTCCCTAAGCCTGCTCCTAGTGTTAGAGCTGAAGGCGTCTAATGCAAAGGTTATTGGATCTGATGGATCCGTAAGGACGTGACCGCCGCGCCTATTTCTGCCGTGAAACAGTAATGCGTTTCGGTTTGAAGGGTGGGGCAGCCGTTGTAACTATACTGAGACCTTAGAACTTATATCTCAAGGTGTGTGGCGCATTTACGTTGTAGATGTCTATGGGCTCCAGTAACCACTTAACACCAGGTGGGCTGTGAGCTCGTCCACATACATAAACAATAAAAAAAAAAAAACATGTTGTTGAGCTCACAGGACTCAAACCGGAGTGCTGCTAACACTGGCCATAGCAAGAGCAGTGTTTCGCAGAATCTACCACCGGATCGGAAACGCGACCCACTGAGAAGATCCGGCGAGACACTCGGTCGGCTGTGTCTATGGGTTAATTCGCTCGTCGAGACCTTCGTTGCAAGCCACGGGTTCGACGAGGACGGTGACCGGTGCTTGTGGTACCTAAAAGCACTGTTAATGGATCGGTAGAATCCGTAATGACGTGTTTTGGGCGACGTTGACTATTTCACCACTACGCCAACGTGCTGCGATCGCAAAGCGCCATTCACTGGTAGCAGGCGCATAGTGAGCCCGCTACTTGGGTACCATCAACCTGATTGTTTCTGCCACGAAACAATAGTGATTGGGATGGCCATTACGCAATAATACAACAGCATTACAATAACTGCGACTTCTACGCGTCGCCAAAGCGTCTTCATAGCGACACACAGCTTATGATATCAATGATAAATGTTCATTCAAAAGTCACACAAACCCGAAGCCTTTTTATATAAAGTCAGACCTCCGCGGTTAGTGGACGACCTACAAACATCAAATGACCCAGTTACAGAAGCCAGCTGCATTGCGTAAAACATTGATCGTAAGCTCACCAAAGGGCGACGAATGCACTTTTGTTTAAACATGACGTAATTAAGAGTTTTCTTCGAGGCTTTTCGTGAATTTAAGTTACCTTGAGTGTTTAAATTAATTAAATTGTTTAAATTTTATCCAAACATCTCCAGTTTCATTTAAGTATGTATTACGTTTTCTCTTTGGTCATAAACATTTTTTTCTAGCATATGTGGTGGAAAAACCGGTTCCTTTTTTTTAAAGACAACAATACATCTCCTGTATACCTACTAAAAAAAGAACTGAAAATAGGCTGACAGTTTACTGAGCTGTTGTGTCTATATAAATGATATTAAAATGTAAATCCTTTTATTAATTGAACAAATGCCTGATCTATACTAATATATAAATCTACAGCGGTTCTTACGGATGTTCCGTTATGACTACTGAACCATGCATCCGATTGACTTGAAACTTGGTATCCATGTGGAAAATAAATGGATAGGCTAATATTTATATGAGTGTTGGACTCTCAACATCAGTTGCGGGGACATTAATGGTGAGAATCCTTGTGGGGGTGAGAAATAATAATGTTAATTTTAAATGCCCAGCGAAGCAAACGGGTACAGCTAGTAACATTAATAAACGTATATAGGCCCAAACAAGCACCGCCATTCAACAGACTTTCCACACAAAAGACAGAGTTTCGAGTGAGCAGCACGGTGCTATAAAAGATTGTAAAATAATAAATGAATACACACTCATGGGCTGGTCGTCCTTCTCCAAGCGGTAGACCGGTTTCTGGTTGCAGTCGTCGAGCAGCAGGCCGCCGTCGGGCAGGTCCGTGAGCGCCGGCAGCAGCGCGCGCAGCGACGAGCGCACGCGGGTCACGTCGAACGCGTCCCCGCGCTGCAGCCCCGACGCCAGCATACCCGGCAGCAGCACCAGCTCGGGCTGGAGCTCCATCGNACTCATGGGCTGGTCGTCCTTCTCCAAGCGGTAGACCGGTTTCTGGTTGCAGTCGTCGAGCAGCAGGCCGCCGTCGGGCAGGTCCGTGAGCGCCGGCAGCAGCGCGCGCAGCGACGAGCGCACGCGGGTCACGTCGAACGCGTCCCCGCGCTGCAGCCCCGACGCCAGCATACCCGGCAGCAGCACCAGCTCGGGCTGGAGCTCCATCGTGAAGCAACGGTCCGAGTCGATGATGCCTAGCAACACACAATACATTTTTACTGGTGGTAGGACCTCTTGGGAGTCCGCGCGGGTGGGTACCACCACCCTGCCTATTTCTGCCGTGAAGCAGTAATGCGTTTCGGTTTGAAGGGTGGGGCAGCCGTTGTAACTATACTGAGACCTTAGAACTCATATCTCAAGATGGGTTGCGGCATTTACGTTCCAAATGTCTATTGGCTCCAGTAACCACTTAACATGAGTTGGGCTGTGAGCCCGTAAACCAATCTAAGCATTAAAAAAAATAAAAATAATGAACTACACGTATTTTAACAATATAATTGACATTCTGAAACACTGAACCCAGTGATACATGACTTCGGATCTCGATCCCGCGTGCCAAATTCATAAACAAGCAAAAAACCTTTTTTAAATAACGTCATCCACAATTACATTACTATGGAATGAACAAAATATTACAATATTTATAAAGCTATTAATAAAAAATCAATAAAGTTGTCCGTAATACGCATGTCAGGTTCACCTAGGAGGAGCATATCGATCGAGACTTATACTGTGATTGTCTTGGAACGCTCACTAAAATATTAAGATAAGTCAATCGATACTGCATTATGTAAATAGCTACACTTACTCCCATAACAGAGGCATAAAGCAAAACTTATTGTATTTATGTTTCGTTACGCACTCTTAATCCCCATCATCTTAAATGATGGCTATCAACACAACAAGAGCCAGTGGACAGCTGGTACATTAACTCAAGGGTGGATCCAGCTTTGGCGCCAGGAGGGGGTCACATAGTCAAATTTAGATGCGTTCGTTCCCAAACGTTTGCCATTATACAAAGTTATTATATTATATTAAATTAATTAAATATTGAAGGTATGTAGTTACATAAAACCAGTATGGTGACAAAATATGTAAATAAAATCATTATATTCAATTAGTGGTCCACCTAAGTCCTGGACCCAGCTCAGCGGGTGGTCATGACCCCCATGACCATCCCCCTAGATCCGCCATTGCATTAACTGTGTAATATTACCACAGTCCTACCTATTAATGTCACTAAGTGGTCTGTAGCGTTTAAAAGATGGCACAGCCGTTACACAAAACCCCTGAAACTTCGTCTTCATGTCCAAAAGTAGATCGTATCTGGCTTTAGTAACCATAGATTTGAACTTTAAGCCATTTGCAAATTTAAACCAATTACAAATACGTGCAGTGTCTGCTCTTGTTTACGGGAAAGATACCCTTATGCCCAATATATTATTTGAAATATATTAATATATTATTTGAATTTGAAAACAAAGAAATACCTTAAATTTGAGTTAAAAAGCATTAAGTGAAAGCTTGTTTGATAAAATACGGCAAGTAGATTGGGCTAGCAGTGAACAATTATTTCAGATGGCATAATGTATTACACGCCGAGTGCTCAGACATGATGGAGAAATATCAAATACTAAATACCTTATTTACAGAGAGTAATGCTTTGCAGTTTGTAATATTTCTGTTGTTCTTTTATTCCGTTACAAACATATTGCACCAAACTAAGCACTAGACAGTCTCAATCAAAATCTCATAGGAGTCAAGTTTTGATAGATAATAATTACCTACCACCATCATACCACCCACACCAACAGGCTTATACGATACGTCAACGTTTTACGGCTGAAAGTTAAAAATCACTTACCAGTTGTATTAGTTTGGAAATCATGAATGAAATGAATGCGGCGGCCATTGTCAATGACAGAGATCTTTTCGACGGTCTCCCCGATGTCCAGTTCCTCACGCAGCGCCGTGATCAGCTGGTCAGTGGCGGCCTCGTCTAAAGTGCTCACAATCTGCACATCAGGCTCGTTGGACCAACGAAGAGGCATTGTGCGGAAGTTTGGTTCCATTAATTGCGAGTCCTGGTAGACATTTTTAGGCTTTTTTTTATTGCTTTTGTAGGCAGATGCGCATACGGGCCACCTGATGATAAGTGGCTACCGTCACCCATGGACGTCAGCAATACCAAGGGCACAGCCAAGCCACTGCCTACAAATTTCCAAGGCTTTGATTGGTTACAAACTTTATACCATTACAGTCATATATTCTTTCCACACCAATATGCGCCCATAATTTCACAGTCGCAAACATTGACATGTGTAACTTTTAAGCCGATTCGAATAATGATTACTGAAAAATATGCAGCTCGGTCTTCGGAAACTACCACTACCACTGTCCCATCATCGTATCGTGATACTACTCTTTTCATCTGCCCTAGATAGATAATTTTCTTTAACACGCAATTGCTTCGCATCCGTGCCGGTTTTACGACAATCCCTACTACCATTTGTGATTTATTTTCATGACTCAATAAAATTTAAACTTTTTTTTTGCTCTTGTAGGCAGTCGAGCATACGGCCCACCTGATGGTGAGTGGTTACCGTCGCCCATGGACTTCAACAATGCCAGAGGCAGAGCCAAGCCGCTGCCTACCGATGCCAGGGGCAGAGCCAAGCCGCTACGTAGGCACCGAGAAACTTGTATGGACTAACAATGACTATTCAAACGCAACCATAAATTACACCAAAGTAAGCTGTTGTAAGTAAGTAGTTTTTAAGCTCTTGTAAAGTAACTCTGTATCTCCAGTGATTTTTTAAGAGGTATTATCTGATGGCCCGAAAGGTACAAGCTTCACCAGCACGGGTATGGCAGCATGAAATCGGCCGGGAGGCTGGGCATTTGTCAAAAACTGTCCGAAGGCCTTCAAGGAATACCTGCCAGTTGAAGATCAGTAGTTACCCGAATGCATCGCATGCAGGATCGCGGTCTTCCGTACCTTAACGTACCTACTTCGCGCTACCTACTACATACTGCTTTCCTATCTAGTCTGTCTGCCTTTCCACGAATACAAACAAGATAAAATAATATTCAATGACTTGTTATCCTCGTTGTGCATAATCCAGAATATTGCAGTTAAAAAGACCGCTATGAGTAGAAAATGCCGTATAATTTACTGACGAAGAGAATGGACATCATTTCATTTTAAAAATATTATTTCTAGCACAATGTTTCAATTCTCGTTTCAACCTCAACGACCTCGAGTCACAGACGTTATTACAATAAAGATATTTTCAATTGACCCGTTTGCGATTTGATTGACCCAATTTGCGCAGTGACCTCCGGCTGAGACCCCTCAGTAATTGCCCCACCTAACAGCTCGACAACTTCCCGCATACAATTTTCAACGCAATGGCTGATGATCATAAACAACTTGGACCCCTGGTTCTGTATACCTCTGCTATTCTCTGTTTTTAGGACAGTTTGTTTCTCGAAAAAAAAATGTATTATAATTTCTTAGAGGATTTATCTCCGGTCACTATCGAAACAGAAACGGAATTGAGCATGTGCCAACTTCGAAGAATCTTTGCGGCCACCCATGGAACGTTTCCATTAGGTCATCCAGAGATCCTTATACCGCGTGCCGTTCGGCTCTGGGATGAGCTCCATTCGTCCCTCGCTCGTTTCCACAACACTATGTGATGCCGCTCTTCAATCGAGGATAAAGAACCTATATGTGCCAACGGTATATCTGATATCTATGAAAAACAGCAATCACTATCTAGTAGCGCGTATGCTCATTTACCTTCAACAAAAAAACTGTGCAGTCGAGAGACCACGTCAATGAGTGATAATCATGAATTACACAAGATTATAAAATATTGATGTTTTATGGAAAGGACGTAACGCTTTTTCGTCACGTGACAATTTCCAAACGCCCCGCCAAGAAACTTCGTTACAAAGAAGTTTTGAGGTTAAATTTCTACATGCTTTTCATTAATTCCTTTTACAATACCTACCTGATATTTCGTACATTTTTGTTGATTAAACAGTCGGTTGAAGAAAATATTAACTTTAATGGGTATTAAAGTTGAATGTTGCCGTCACTGTACAAAACAGTGCTCTCTCTGTCTAGCACTATCATAAACAGTGGGAATTTGCTCATATCTGATTAAATATTTTTTTAACGCTTGTGTCATAAAAATGAGACATAAGACTAATATTAGTCAGCACGAAGGTTCAAGATAAGAAGAAAATCTAACTTACCCTAGTAGAAATGGGTATGGTACAGAAGCCCTGGTATCGTCGTACGGTGCCGATTCTCACGTACTGACGGTACAAGAGCACGCCACCTGCAATGCTGGTCGCGGCCACCACTAACGCCATGAGGAACATACACACCAGCATAGTAGCGGAACGCTTCCTCATGATGTAAGGGCCCTCGATGTTGTGCATATCGATCAGCTCCTGTTGTTTACACTAACAAATAATCATTTTTAACCGACATTAAAAAGCAAAAAAAAAATGCAATCAATAATCACAAACAAAGAATGGATCAAGCTCAGCCATGGTATTTTTAGATAGAAGAACAAACCGATACCACCGCCATCTGGTATATTTTTAGCAAGTGAATTCGGATGAATTCCACCAATATGTAAAAAATTTGCAATACAAGACATAATATTATAGTAATTGACAAATAAATATAAAATTGCTTTCGGTGCATATACTGTGCGTATTTCTTAATTTATTTGTGTATTTACATAGGTGTACTAGAATTATTTCCCAAAAATAAATTCGGGTGAATTCCTAACATGAAATAACCAAAATTAATTTAAATAATATTTGAATGGCATTATTTTCTGTTTATATCATAGAAACATTACCGTCGATTCTCTGAAATTATCTTAAATTACGTTGAATTAAAATGAACAAAAACCAATAGGTAGTAAGTTTATGGACTTCGATCAATATCCGACTAAGATTTGATTTAACAGTTATAACTCGCAAGAAAACCAGAAAACCCAAACGAATTTTGCGGAATTCAACTTTAGGTCATTCAAATAAGTTTCTATCGGTTAATAAAATAATGTTAAAAAACAAAGAATCTAACGAGCTAAGTACCAGTATATAATTTAGGGATGTGACATGCTTTTAATTCTTCGATTGTTTTGAATCATAGTGAGTAATGTAAGTAAAGTTTGAAATAAATAATTTACAAAATTAAAATGAAAAATTTTTATTTAGCGAAATATAAGTTAAAGCTAACAAAAAAGTAAATGTTTTTTTTATTTAAGCTAATCAGTAAATTATAATTACGCACATCTTCACATAATTGGTCGGCAATGGCCTCAGGCTTGTGAGCGTTGAGACTGGGCTTCGTGAAAACGGTCATGATAAGATTATTATCAAACACACCCTAATCCACTACGATTTCAACTTCAATAAATATTCAGTGTTACAGAAACGCAGTCTTGAAATGACTGAGAAAATTCATCAATAATTTCATGCGTTGCTAGATACCAAAATCTTTACGCCATATAGCAACATTTGTGTTTTAGTCGATTGAAACGAATTGATCAAGACCTTCATAGTAATTTCGAACTCGACTAATTTTATCAATAGTAACAATTCTCATTTTAGTTATTGATAGTTCATGAACAAAGCTGTCATTCTAACCGTTACTATCCTTCCATTTTTTTATGTATTACTTCTTCAATCATTACGACTTCCACGATGAAGCTGTAACATTTTGTAATAAAAACCAAATCTGTCAAGTTTGTAAATTAAGAATAATTACTGGTGTTAAAGCGTATTTTAAGCCCGCATGGGTAGATAGGTACCATAGATAGGGCCGTATAGGTATTCGGTCTATTTGATTTTTTTACGATGAGCGCATGAGACATGAGTTGCCGTAAAATTCAACAAGCTATCCGAGGAATGAAACAAAATTAAGTGTATCTTTTATAACGTAAACACAAATTACTATAACAATATTTAAACTCTGGCTAAACCCTTTTTTTTTTCTAATAAAATGATATTCATTATTTGCATATATTGAAATTATTTTTTACACCGAAGTATCGGCTTCTAATGAGCGAAAACAACTATTTAAATTCATACAATAATTATTAAATTCATAAATAATACTATTCATCCTTAGTAGTATTCTTACCTTGCTTTTTCTACATAACTTTCTCTACTATTCTTATTCCTATTTACGGTACACCAAGAAGTTCTGTTGCGAAGTAGAGCTTATTGTGAATCTGCAGAAATTGAAGAAGTTGAAGATTTCTGTGTTTACGTTCTAGTCTGCGAGGTAGGATTTTTTGAGTTTCGAGGCGAACAAGACCTAGCTTTAGTCCAATGACAACTAGACATTATATGGGCTGTGAACTTGTCTGCCTTTATGTAGCAGCGATAATAAAAATAAAAATACTGAATTTGATGGGAGATTTTCATCTCAGACCTCGTCGTACCGTTAAGATAGTATCACTAACTGCAATGACTGGACGAAGGACTCGATTAAAATATAAAATTGATTAAATTGATTGATTAAATGCTTACTTTGTATTAAAAACACTCAATTTCAATGATTCTACACTGTATTCATTGAAACAAAAACGAATATTAAAATTGAAAAAATATTTTTATCCCAAAACTCTGTTTGACTTGGCATTGGCCAGTATTCCTAAAACATTTTTAGTTGGCAACACTGATCAGACAAGTCAAGTCATAAATTCCTAAAATAAAAAGATTTCTGAAGGAAACGGACCATCCTTTATGAGTTGTAGAATATTTCGTGAAAATAGAGGTTAAACCACCATCGCTCGTATAGTGGCGTAAAACATGTTTGATTAGTTTACTGCTTAGTAATTTTATGTTGATTCTTTGTTTCTTTGTGTAATTACCACGTACTGTGTCGAGACAGCGAGCACAGATAAAATGGCGACTGATCAAGCGAAAAACCGCATGCATGTGTTCAAGAATGCAGGCAAAGATGTCGATGTAAGTATACGAATGAATATATTATAGCGTAGAAAAAATACCATGCGAACTAGGCTTGACGAGTCTTGGACTCACTTTGCATTTTTTTGTTTCCAGGAAATGCGCAGGCGAAGGAATGAAGTCACAGTCGAGTTAAGAAAAAACAAAAGAGAGGAAACACTTCAGAAACGGCGTAATGTGCCCATTAGCTATTCTACCGATGAGGAGGAGATCGACAAGAACCTCGCTACCACCGACCTTGATGAGCTGGTGATGAACGCTGCCAACGCAGAAAACCCTGAAGCACAGTTGGCTGCTGTGCAACAATGCAGAAAACTGCTCTCGTGTGATAAAAACCCGCCTATTGATGAGCTCATAGCTGCTGGAATACTCCCCATCCTAGTTCAGTGCCTTTCGAGGGCTGACAATCCAGCGTTACAGTTCGAGACCGCTTGGGCTTTAACAAACATAGCTTCCGGAACGTCTGCACAAACAAACAAAGTAGTCCATGCCGGTGCAGTACCTGTATTCCTTCAGCTCTTGATGTCACCTCATGAAAACGTATGTGATCAGGCAGTATGGGCCCTCGGTAACATAATCGGCGACGGTCCAGTCCTTCGAGACTTTGTGATAGAACTAGGAGTTGTCAAACCACTACTGAGCTTAATCAAATCAGACATACCAATCCCATTCCTCAGGAATGTAACATGGGTGATTGTCAACCTCTGCAGGAGTAAAGATCCACCACCACCTCTGAAAACCATCCAGGAGATACTGCCTGCCCTAAATGTTCTAATCCTACACAACGACAGTAGTGTGAGTAAATAATTTTTTTGTTTACAAACATATTATGTAGCTGATCAAGTTATGTTGAGTTTAAAACTTGTCTGCTGTCACCGAAATCTTATATTTTATGTCAGTGTATTTTAAATAACCATTAATTAGACAAGCAATATTTAATTTATCAAATTAAAACTGAGCCATTTTCAAGCATATATGAAANTAATCCTACACAACGACAGTAGTGTGAGTAAATAATTTTTTTGTTTACAAACATATTATGTAGCTGATCAAGTTATGTTGAGTTTAAAACTTGTCTGCTGTCACCGAAATCTTATATTTTATGTCAGTGTATTTTAAATAACCATTAATTAGACAAGCAATATTTAATTTATCAAATTAAAACTGAGCCATTTTCAAGCATATATGAAAAATACTTATGAAATTTCTCTAAACTTGACTTGACAGAAGACAGAAGCTTGACAGCCGTATGCCTACAAAGGCAATAAAAAAAATTTGTAATTTAGAAAAATTAATTTGTAATATAGTGATGAATATAAAACAAGTGCTTCTGTCATATTAATTATAATATATTTAAGTGATATGATATTTTAAGCTTCATCACGATAAAAGAAACCTAAAAATAAAATGTAAGACAGATAAAAGGACATTGACCTTATAACTAAATAGCTGATATTTTACAGGTTCTTGTTGATACTGTTTGGGCCATTAGTTATCTAACAGATGGGGGCAATGAACAAATCCAAATGGTGATAGAATCTGGTATAGTAACAACCTTGATTCCGTTGTTGTCGCACAAGGAAGTGAAAGTACAGACGGCCGCCCTAAGAGCAGTTGGTAACATTGTCACAGGAACAGACGAACAAACTCAAGTTGTCCTGAACTGCGATGCTCTCTCACACTTCCCGGCTTTACTGACTCATCCGGTGAGTAAATTTTTAAAGTATTTTAAAGTTAAAGATTTGTTTTAATCACAAATTATACAATATTTTAGGATTTTGATAAATTTGCAAATACAGATATCATCAAAAGTAAAAATGCATAAGTATTTCTCTGTACTGCTCGCATTAATGGAATAGATCATCTTTTTCTGTGGTTTCATTATAAGTTTAAAGTAATATTCAATAAACTTAGTGCATTATATTAATTAAACTCTGCTTGTTATCAAATATTATAGTATTGGTCTAATGACAATCAATAGATAAGAATTTAATTCTTTTACTGACAGTAATATTATTTGTATTTTGTGTAAATTTTGAAATGAAAACAGCACAGAAAGATAACATCATTGTATGATGAGGATAATGATTAAGAATTATCGTCGTCATATTATTTGTCGTCGTCGTGGCCTAAAGGATAAGACGTAAGGTGTTCGAATCTCAGGCGGGTACAAATTTTTCTAATGAAATACGTACTCAACAAATGTTCACGATTGACTTCCACGGTGTAGGAATAACATCGTGTAATAAAAATCAAACCTGGAAAATTATAATTTGCGTAATTACTGGTGGTAGGACCTCTTGTGAGTCTGCACGGGTAGGTACCACCGCTCTGCCTATTTCTGCCGTGAAGCAGTAATGCTTTTCGGTTTGAAGGGTGGGGCAGCCATTGTAACTATACTTGAGACCTTAGAACTTATATCACAAGGTGGGTGGCGCATTTACATTGTAGATGTCTATGGGCTCCAGTAACCATTTAACACCAGGTGGGCTGTGAGCTCGTCCACTCATCTAAGCAATAAAAAAAAAGAATTTACCCTTCACTTAAATTGACTATTGTTCATAGAGTAAAACGATAGTTAAAATAGAAGAAATTTTAAAATCTGTAGGTCTTTTTTTCTGGTATTAAAAAGTAGCATAACAGTATGTTCATCAAATCCATAGATTAAGCAGATAAGCTGATGTAATAGACAGATGCTTAGTCACTTGCCATTGACAAAATACAAATAAAAACTCACTATTTATTGTCAAAGAATGATCCAGATTAAATATTGTGTACCACTGAAATACTGAAACACCATATAACTGATTTCCTAGTAGAGGAATTTAATGCCATTATTAGAGCATTGTGGAGATGCTGTTTGTATTTGGTATGAAAAAATCTTTTTCATCTCATAATTATTATGGGTATGTAATGAACAGTTGAAACTTAAACCAATCACAAAGCTATTAAAAAAATTAAATCACAAAAGATAAATATTGTTGAAATACTTGAATACTATCAATATTTTGTAAATGTCTGTTAATTTTGATTTGAGTAACATTTTAATCTCAAATCACTCAATTAGAGTTAACTGTGTCCTCTTTGGGTGAAGACCCCTTAAAAATATATGTATTACCACATATTATCACTGTCCTTCTATGGTTGTTGTCAGTGAGTGCTGGTCAAGGAATTGCCATAGTATGTTGATTGATTCAGTCCACTCTTTGTTTACACTTGCAAATTAGATACATGTTCCTAAAATAACTCGTGAACGGTTCCAGAAATAAAATAGAAAGGCCCATGTTCAGTTATTGTCTAGTAAATTAAAAAAAGTCTGAACATTAATTAGTCTCCTGAGCTATCTGGAAAAATCTACTCAATCCCACTATTTTATGTTTAAATTTATTCTTTGTTTATTTTAGTACACAATATTATTCTCTAACTCAACTGACAGTTCATATATAAATTCATACTTCTGCAGAAAGAGAAGATATGCAAAGAGGCAGTATGGTTTCTGTCAAACATCACGGCAGGTAATAAACAACAAGTTCAGGCTGTTATTGATGCTGGTCTCCTGCCCATGATTGTGGCCAACCTTAGCAAAGGAGAGTTTCAAACCCAGAAGGAAGCTGCTTGGGCCGTTTCCAACCTCAGCATCAGTGGCACGAGGGACCAAGTTGCTGCACTTATCAATTGTGGAGTTATACCGCCATTCTGTAATCTACTCAGTTGCAAGGATACCCAAGTTATTAATGTGAGTATAAACTTCTTTCATTAGACATGTCTTGGGTCATTGATATAACTTTATTTTAATGAAATAATCCTAAATGCAAAAAATAACATCAATAGGTTAACAACCTGATAATCTAGAAAAAAATTTAGATGTACTTAATACTATTGGAAAGATGACAAAAATGCACACGTCATTTTTTGGCAACTAGTTCGGGATACACAACATACATACAATACATACTAGTTTGAAGCAAAACTTTGATCTACAAATGAAATTTTGCACTACTTTCTGTTTAATAGTTTTAAAACAAAAAAAATTATCACACACATCCAATCCAATCCATTAATTTTAAAACCAAATAGGTATCCACAATTGTAAAACCAACAGTTTTTTTGGTGAAACCGATATAGAGGAGTTAAAAATGAAGACTACAGTACCAACTCAAACACAACAGACAAAGTAGTTAAACTAAAAGCTGGTGCCTCACATTGACAAAACATGTTACAATGGAATGGTCCGCCGATACTTTTAGCTGTGGATGTAAATTCCACGTTCATGAGCCTTTCAAAAAAGTATAGGTACCAGGTGACTAATGATCGTTTATAAAATTAAAACAGTAACATGATCTGAATAAAAAACTGTTTTTTTTTTCCTAAACATTGGCCTGCAAACCACTGTCGCCGTTATCGCTTAGAAAGTCTAAATGTAAATATACATTTTAACAGTTTAAATAATAAGTAAATTTGAACTAGGGTTCAAGGATGATCCTGCAGTAATCAATTTTTTTTTCACCTAGGTGGAATATGTAGCCTAAGTACAAAATATCAACTATCTGATACAAGTAACGGTCATGAATTTAAACAAATTATCATGCCATGCCTTCTTTACAATTATTATCTAAAAATACAAAAAAAACTATAAAATAAAAACTCATTTGATATTAATTGTAAATTTTCTAGGTTGTACTAGATGGTCTCAGTAACATGCTGAAGATGGCTGGTGACAATGCCGAACAAGTTGCTAACATGATTGAGGAGTGTGGTGGTATTGACAAGATTGAAGATTTGCAGACCCATGAGAAGATGGAAATTTACAAGATGGCTTATGATATCATAGAACAGTACTTTGCGGGAGAGGTCAGTGCTCTTTGAACACATTATCGTAATAACATAATGTTTGGTGAATTGATTGGAAATATCCTGTGGTCCAAGAAAAGTTGCTTATTCACCTCTGGTTCAAATTCTATTCTAAATAGTCTAGGGAGTGCTCTGTAACCAGCAGAGCAGCTTGCTAGGCTCACAAATACTCTATTTTATTATTCATAATAGTTCATATAGTAGTTTTATCATTCTTAGAAGAATCTTATTATTCTTCTAAGAATTGTATTAATATGAAACATGAGTAAGTACAAATTGAATGGGACAAGACCAGCTTCCGGTACTTGGCCAAATATTACCCATAAAGACAACAACTCACAATATTTACATAACTGACCAGATGTGCACATTTAAAATAACAAACTGTCTATATCCAAATATGTAAAGTACTTTTACCATTTGACTTTAGTTTCAAATGCAGGATTTTTACTCCACAAAATTAGTTATAAATTGGTCCAATCAACTCATTCACAAAATTGAAAAAAATCATTCTAAAATATACATAATTTCGACACATTTTTCTTTCAAAATATCTTTTAAATGTGGCTAATACTCCCAAGTGACCCCATGTTCCTCTGCCTTTTGCATTCAATTTGCTTATATATTAGAGGATATTTATTACTTATTGTAATCAACAAATTGACAAAAATACATACTTTTTGTTAAATAGTTTATTTCATGTTCAGTACAGGCTTAGTTTAAGTTACACAAACACGTGTTAATTTTACAACTATTAGTTAAATCCTGTTTACACTGTGACTAATGCTAAATGTCAATTCAGGCCCTCGTCAGCACACTGCAGTGATTCATCCTCTGTCTGAATGCTAACTTTCCACATTCTTAATACTTTCTATTCATTTTGTATATACTAGTCATAATAATATGAACAAATAATACAGGTTGAGTTGTATTGAATTTATTGTTATTTCAAATTGTTAACAGCAGTAATAGAGAAGCCTTGTTTTTTTTTTGTTTTATAGTGTTTAACGGTGCAAAATGAATATACATTAGGTTAGAATGTGTTTCAATAGAACTAAATTTAGCGTATAAGGGAATGGGTAGAGAGATGTACAAAGCGGTGTGTTGTGTGTGGCAGGAGGAGGACGCGTCGCTGGTGCCGGCGGCGGGCGAGGCGGCCTTCCAGTTCGACGGCGGCGCCGCCGACAAGGAGCCGCCGCCCTTCCGCTTCTAGCTCGGCGCCGACCCCACGCCCACCCCGCGCTGACCCCACGCTGACCCCACGCTCACCCCACGCTCGCCGCTCCAGACACAAGACTTCGGATAAACACTTCTTCAACAGCCTCACCGAACACGGGTCCGTTGGTTGTTTACAACAAATGTACGGCTAGTTTTACGTAAATTATTTTTACATTTAACGTTAATATGAAATTTTTTGCCTAGACTGAAAGTAACAACTTTCTGTAAAGTATTTTTTTAGAAAGAGTGGTTATCCGACCTTTTGGCTCTGGCGTCGTGGATGATGTTCTGGGCACGAGCCGTCGGTCCGGCCGACCTCGAACTGTCTCTGTAACGTTTGTTTACAAATCGACTATGTATGTATATGCCTGTTGGTGAACACTATTTTTATTGGCTTTCTTGTTGTAAATGAAAAAATAAAAATGATTATTGTAAAACGATGCTGTGACTAACCTGACTAAACGCATGTTTGAGTCGTTCATTTTTAATGCTATTAAGTAGTAATAAGAATTTTTCAATAAAGTGATTCTATTTAGATATTCCTTTTTTTCTTCAAATTCAAAACCTACCTACCTAGCCTACCCTTATTAAAATATTCATTCTTATTATACCGAACGTGCATAATTTTTTGCATAAAACTATAAAAATTGAGTAAATTTTTGAAATAACTGGATCATCAAGTACTCTTGAATAAATAGAATTGATTAATTAAATGAACGGAGGACATTGATGAAAGGAATAGTACCATGAGGTTAAATTTATTGAGGCAACGGCTCCGCTTTCTGTATGCCACTGAAAATTTCATCACCTTGAAATAATTTATTAAAAAATAAATACATTTAATGAATATTTAAGAAATATGCAATGAAATACTTACTTTTTTAAAGTCGCAAGCGTAACATTTGACGTTACTGTAAATTTCTTCTGTACATTCAGACATCGAACGCGTCGATATTTTGCTGTTTCCCGTCTCGTAGTATAACCCAACCTTGTGCTGGAAACTAATTTTAAAATTTAATACAAGCCATGGGAAAGGTCTTTTACATTACCTACTATTAGAAAGATACTCAGTAATAAAATCGTGACCTAAGACCGAAGACGCCCGGTGTAACTATTTTGAGCGCTACGACTATGCCGGTATTCGAATCAAGCAGTTTTTTCTTTTTTTATTTGGATTCTAAGGCTTAGTATTGATTTTACCAATATCATAGTATGCACAAAAATGACAGGTGCTTATAGAAAAAAAATATACAAATGATCAGATTTTCCATAAGCGAAGCTGTGATTTTAAGAACAGTACAAACAAATATTTTATGTTACACTAACTACTTTAAACATAAATATTATTAATAGAAAAATTGTACATAGAATAATATCATGTTTAGAATATACTAAACATAATAGAGAGTTAATACTAATAGGCCAGGGGGATTAGTTCTTTTTGACGCTAAACAAGTGTGTACTTTCATTTATATTGAATAAAAAAAAATGATTTTATTTGATGTTTTGAAAGGATATCATAAAGTACTGCTTTTTCTAAAGAGAAATGCACTTAACAGTAGCACGTGCCCGCGAATGACTTCCACGGCGGGGGAATCTCTTTCTCTCTCTCGCTCTGTCTTCGACATCCTCGTCAACAAAATTCCATTCCTTTTGTCCTTCAGCACTACATCTTTCCACCCATAATATAACATTGTATAATAATAAAGCAAATTCTCAAAAAATGTAATTGGCGTAATTAATGGTTCTAAGGCGTCTTGTGAACCTGCACGACCATCCTGTCGTTCGAGGCAGTAATGGATTCCGATTTGGCGAGGAGGCGACGACACTAAAAATAGGTACAATAGGGACTTAGACCTCATATTTCCGGGAAGGTGGCGACATTCACGTAGGTATTTGTGAGATGAAGACGATATTTGATTTTTATTAAACAACGTTATGTCTTCATTGTGGAAGTCTTTATGAAGACGAGTTAAGTGCGTATTTCCGGGCGTTGTGCCCTCCACGGCGACTTCGAATAAAGCCTAATTACTACTAGGTTTATTGGGAAGGTTAGTTTGAAGTTAGATTTTTATGATGATGTCAGACCTTTAATTTTCTAACAATATTTAAAAACTATACTCTTAGAAGTCGCCTTGTGGAACTGGTTCCACAATACAGATTTAAATATTGATAAAGCCAAATAATGGATATAAAAATTACTTAGGCAACGGTTTAGTCCAATGATTGTCTAGTCTGTTGACTCGCATAATGGCCCCAAGACGTTGCAACAAATTGAAATTGTCACTTTCAATCTTGGCCTTTCTATCAAGCTCACGCTGACATTTCTTCAGTTTCATGGCCACGTGGGGTCGGGGTGGTGGGGAGCGATCATCAATGGCGGGCTGTGCTAATTTAACCTAAANATTGTCTAGTCTGTTGACTCGCATAATGGCCCCAAGACGTTGCAACAAATTGAAATTGTCACTTTCAATCTTGGCCTTTCTATCAAGCTCACGCTGACATTTCTTCAGTTTCATGGCCACGTGGGGTCGGGGTGGTGGGGAGCGATCATCAATGGCGGGCTGTGCTAATTTAACCTAAAAACATTTCATAATTCTTATTCGTACGCTGGATGCAGGCAGCGCAGAACCGATCACTTGAGGGAGGCCTATGTCTAACAAGCCCATAGACACAGCCCACTGAGTTTCTTGCCGGATCTTCTCAGTGGGTCGCGTTTCCGATCCGGTGGTAGATTCTGCGAAACACTGCTCTTGCTAAGGTCAGTGATAGCATCACTCCGGTTTGAGCTCCGTGAGCTCACCTACTAGCTAAGGTTACGCTGAAATAGCCTGTCAAGGCTATCAGCTTAGCTTAAAAAAATTTGTCTAACAGTGAACTTCTGTGGGCTGAAAGATTCATCTATCATCATAAGCATTAAAGAACTTGATTTGAACTCGTGAAAGTTCTTTCCCTATTTCTCCTTATACTTTATAGATGGGTAAACCAGCCCTCCGAGCCCCTCCCTAAAGGCTTCGCGGCAGAAATAAGCAGGGTAGTGATACAAACCCGTGCGGACTTATACCACAGAAGTTATCGACTTAATTTTTTGTTTTAGTTTTGATTTAATAAACGATCTTATGCGAATAATGTCATTTCCTTCATCGTCGATGTCTTTCGTAAATATCTCCTTGTCTTATCACTCTGGTCAGAGCGGTCGTGGTCGTCATGCAATAACATTGGTGTGAGCAGATGCTATGCGCCTCACAAGCAATCGCCACTTCGAATTTCGTAAATATGTGATAGATATTTCCTTAGGAAGAATGACATCTGTCTGAAGTATTTGAACCTCGACAAAGTTTAATTACCTACCTATTCAATATTTAGTAGAAAGGCTTAAGTGCTCTAAACTTCTAATTTTGAAATGTCGTAAGCAAACAGACCTTTACCTTACATACCCTGTCCCTAAACTGATAAGATATCCAAACAATAAACTCATTAAAATAGGAGGATTAGTATTTGACAGAATTCTTACATTGTATTCTATGGCTTAGAATTGAAGGATGCATTTGTCAATTATTTTTTTTTACTTCTAAGATTTAGTAAAATGATGTGATTCTGGTAACAGCATTATATTGTGGTGTCTTGGGAGTCAAGAGCTAAGTATATAACTCAACAAAGACACTAAACCTTTTGTCAGTGATTTCACAAAATCTGTTAACCAAGAAGGTCAACAGCCTCACATTTGACGATTTATGTTTGTTTTACGTTGCTGTACAAAAATAACAGATCACATTCATTTGACTTCAGATGTGTGTAAGAATCAATCTGCTTATTGTAATAATAGGCTTAAATACATTTCAGTTCGTTCAGCGTTCACTTACTTTCAATCTGTGATCTTTGAATCTCCTGTCTTCCCACGGCTGAACAAGCAGCTTATCTCGCCTTGAGAGCATATTCCTTGCGTAAAATCTCTAGATATATACGAGTTCAGTAAAATAGCCGGCAAGTGATTGATCAATAGTCCATTGTAGCTGCCCCGGCAACGTTCCACAACCGAATCAATTAATTCAATAAATATGAATTGCCAGATATTATCGTTATATTATGGTCACGGATTTCACGATGTTAATGCTGCCTATTTTATTACCATAAATACTCACCATTTTTATTTACACAAAGATATTTTTGTTCTCGTTGAATCTTTGAAGTCGACTTTTGAAATCGTCGTGGCCTAACGGATAAGACGTCCGGTGCATTCGTGTTGAGCGATGCACTGGTGTTCGAATCCCGCAGGCGGCTACCAATTTTTCTAATGAAATACGTACTCGACAAATATTCACTATTGATTTCCACGGTGAAGGAATAACATCGTGTAATAAAAATGAAACCCGCAAAATTATAATTTGCGTAATTACTGGTGGTAGGACCTCTTGTGAGTCCGCACGGGTAGGTACCACCACCCTGCCTATTTCGGCCGTGAAGCAGTAATGCGTTTTGGTTTGAAGGGCGGGGCAGCCGTTGGTAACTATATTGAGACCTTAGAACTTATATCTCAAGGTGGGTGGCGCATTTACGTTGTAGATGTCTATGGGCTCCAGTAACCACTTAACACCAGGTGGGCTGTGAGCTCGCCCACTCATATAAGCAACAAAAAAAATAAAAAAATCTTTGGTGCATTGGACGCTTTTGTCATATTAATAGTTATTACTTATTAGTACGGTGAGGGTTTCTCGACTATATCTCTGGAGCTTCAGATTTTACTGTATCTCTGAGTTCTAAGACAGGAAGGGTTAAGGTTAAAAAATAAAAAATATTGTTTAAAGGAGGGTCGCTATACTGTAAAACTGAGGCTAAAAACTGATGTCTCAAGTTAGGCGACGGCATTTACGTTGTATGGACTCCGATAACCATTTAACACCAGGTAGGCCGTACGCTCATCCCCCTTTTAAGCAATGAAAAAGAAGAGAGCTTTCAATCTAAGCTCCTACTCTCTTATTCTCTTCTCAACAAATTTGTTTAGGAGCCAAGACATGTTCAACGAGAGCGCCATGACTTCTGGCGTGAGCATTGCTGTGGCTCCTGGACTCACAGGGTCACGTGTGCCGCAGCGAGCGACCGACTACCGCGGACTGGACTCACGCGCTCGTCTGAACAACTTCGCGGATTTGTTTAGGCCGTGACGTGACCATCAACCTCAAAAGGACTATGATTAATGTTTAATGAAATATTTAAAAAAATCAATAAAGGTGTTGAACAATTAAACCAAATTAGCAAATTAATAAATAAATTATAATGTTAAATATAATACACTGCACTTACGATATTACATATAATATGCGCGTTATACCATACAATGTACATCAAACATTCCAAACGCTAAGTTTAAATATAATAAATCATTATAAAATCATATACCTTTGAGCAATATAAAAAAAAAAAACTCAATCACTCTATTACATGTCTAAATACTAATTATACTTATTGAAAGATCGACCGTTCCAAGCTGGTGCGTGTGGCGGTACGACGACGCGGCGCGACTGGCGAATCTGATTTACATCCGGACCTCGGCCGGGACTCTACTACGGAACATCACTCGTGACGTCACAGAGAACGAACCTTCTGGAACTACAACTAAATAAGCAAGTCTGTACCGCCTTAACTATAACGGGTGTATATACACCGTCCGTACAAAACACTGGGAATAATTATTATGGAATAAAAAAGTTAGGCAAACTATTATTTACAGCCGACCGACGCAACCCGACGCGGATGAATCTTAAATGACAACTGTTGTAGAGATGTTGTTTGCCTCATATGACAACCGTATGGGTCGATGTGGGAATCCAGCCCGTCCTCGCCTCCGCGCCGGATGCAGCTGCCCGCGGGCATCACGCAGACAGCTCACTTATGCTGTTGCCGCTACCCTACAAATCCCTTAAATCACACCGCGTTTTCTATGACGGGACCGTTGACGAAACAAGCACTTAATTATTTAATCACTAGTTACTTTTCAGTTAATATAATAACTAAACGATGTTTTTGACTAGTTTAATATTATCTTAATCGTTATTTATTATAAAAATACAAAAGTGTATTAGTATATCGAGGCGTGTCCGCGGCGCGGTACACAAATCAGACTCGGCCGTCGTCGCCGGTACGAGATGCTTCAGGGAATGTAGATCCAATTTCATTAATTCATTTTGGCATAGTTTTACGAGTAAAGCTTAATTGATTAGTGCAAGTTACAATATGTTATATTTAATTAACGCTTCGTGTACAAAAAGGCTATAAATGACATCAGTTTATAAACTACATCGGCACGTCTAACCTACGCGATACATACAAAAAACAGTTCCCAGAAACCCTTCCGAGTGATCGTTGCAAAAGTGTCGAGTGCTGGAGATCGTTCAGACTCCTCAACTTCGCTAACGGGTTCGTCACCGCGACTGCGAGCTAGCACTCACTGTGACGTCACAATCGACCGCGCCCCGACTACACAACGTACAAATGCATCGGGGAGGCTGGGAGCTCGCGCGTCGCCTGTGACTTTGTCGTAACGTTCGGGAGTCGAAATGAAGAACTGTATTATAACTAGTATATATAAAATTTATTGTGCCACCATATTTCGGACACCATATTTTTATGGTTGAATAGTATTTTTTTATTTGTAAGAAAATTCTACTTTGTAAAGAAACACCTTTCAAGCTTACAAATAATGAGAATTTTGCGTAAAAAAAAACAACAAAATTATACTAAATATAGTTTAGTCAGTCGTAAAATACGTTGACAACCACATATACAGATTGCATATTTAGTATCAGAAGTCATGTTAGAAGCGGTCTTGTATCGCACTAGCACCGTAGCAGTACGGCACTAGTACCGCTAGCAGTATCACCTGGTACGGCACTAGTATAGCCTGGTATAGCACTAGTACCAGAACAGTATCGCCTGGTATGGCACTAGTACCGGAACAGTATTGCCTGGTACGGCACTAGTACCGGAACAGTATTGCCTGGTACGGCACTAGTGTAGTCTGGTATAACACTAGTACCAGAACAGCACCGCCTGGTATGGCACTAGTACTAGAACTGTATCGCCTGGTATGGCACTATTACCGGAACAGTATCGCCTGGTATGGCACTAGTACCGGAATAGTATCGCCTGGTATGGCACCAGTACCGGAACAGTATCGTCTGATATGGCACTAGTACCGCAGCAGTACTGCCAGCAGTGAGCACGACACAAGTCACAAGCAGCCGCTTCGAACTAACCTCGAAAATGTACACACGTGGGCGGCTCGCGGGCCCATGTGCGCTGTCTATTCTAATCAAACAATAAATGCGATGAATACTATTTTTATTATAAGCGCACACTGGACGCAACGCACAGCCATGTCGTTAACAATGTCACCTAGCCGGCTGACAACCGGTAGCTGTCCCGTTAGGTGCGATTGCAGGACTCTAGGGTTGTCAGATTATTTTCCTCTCATACTAAGGGAGTGACAGTCGCAAATTGGCCGCCAATGTCAATATTCCACAATGAATTATAAAACTGACTTCTAAAAGAAGCATCTAAATATCGGAAAATATTTACTGTATCTTCACTGCTCAAAACCATCCATCGAATGTGAGAAAGAGACAAAAACAATATCGTTACAAAAATAAATGATTTATGTAAATGCAAATATAGTTCGGCGCAGAGAGCGCGGCTGCAGGCTGCGGGAACAACCGCCCGTTCGTGTCCCTAAACAACTTTATATGAAATCAGTCATTTCTCAGAGGTACTCGTTTGTGGAAGTCACTTAAAATTTTTTAACAAAAATAAATCAATACTTATTTACCTTGAAAAAAGTGAAACAAAAAATTTGTCCGAAATAAAAACCTTCTTTTTTACCTTAACTAGAAAAATAATTACAAAAATAATAATAACAACGCAATTAGCTGCCACTGTCAGTATTCACTAGTTTTACTGTCACTGTTCATTGAAGACGTGACGATCTCGTACAATATTAATAATTCAATAATTGTGTACTCTGAACGAATATTGAAATCAGCCATCCCTTTCTTACGCTTATGAGTGACAGAGATAGCTGTTACAAATAATATTGATTCGAAATACGATTCAGTATAAATACGACTACAATGTATAAATTACAATATAAAATGTTGTACAATTAATTGTCTACGTGTTAACACAATGTTCGGTTTAGACTTCAGCGTTTCGTTGATGCATTATGATCCCTAAAGTAAATATCGTGCTCATCCCACAGGGTAGAGGGCGCAGCACGTAACCACGTGATCGTTTTCAGTGTGCTTTAGTGCGAGTTTTTTAACGTTCTCCATAGCGTAAAAGTTAGCTCATATTTGTATGGAATGGAATCGTTTGCGTACGTTTGCCACTAAGGGCGCTATTCTAACTGCATACAAAATGGGGTTAGCTTTTACGCTATCGAGAACGTTAAGAAACTCGCACTAAGCACACTGAATACAGATCCGTCCAGTGACGTGACGTGTCCGCGCGCCGCTGACGTCACGTCTCGCTTACTGCGCGCGCTTAGAGCGAGACGTGCAGGGGGCGGGGGCGGGGGCGGGGGGCGCGGGTGCCTGCCGGGGTACTATATCGGGGGCTTCCAAAACCGTAATCAAGTTCTCAGTTGAACCTGTTTCGGTCAACATTTTTCGAGCCCGTGAACTACGATTTGACATCAAATATCAATAAACTTTTTTATTGATACAATTCACAAAGCATTAATGAGTAATATAGTAGGTACGACAAATGACATCCCGATGATGCCGATTTTTGACATTTTGGATAAGTTTCATTAATGAATTTATCTAGGACTATCTGGCGGTGGGACAGACACCACGCCGCACACCGCCGCGTCGTGCGTTACCATTGTGCGGTGCGCGTCGTGCATAACCGCGTAATTAAGTCGTGCCAAGTCTCCTCGCTCCATAGGTTTTGACTGGTAATATTCTTTCTAGCTATCAAATACTATATCCATATAATATTGACTAATTTTGCGAAGACTGATTTGCGACGTTCCCCTATCGATATATTTCAGATTAACGCTATATGAGTGCGCCGCCGGCGGAGCACCGGGGCAGGGGGGCGCAGCTCCCGGTCGCCCCCGCGCGACATAGAGCCGTGTCGGCTGCTATATTTAAAAGCTAAGATAATATAAAAACCTATTTAATGTATTTAAATTAATTTCACATACATTTTGAAGATTATTTTTTGAATAAGATATATTCTGAAATTTTTATTCATTTAATGAACGTCCTCCCATAGTGCGTCCCTCCGACCAGAGCACGGCGGCGCGCGCGGAGCACTGAGCGTCGTGTTACTGTATGCAATGAGTATTATTTAAAACTACAGAAAACGTCAAGCGATTATGATTGTAATAGTTTAATGATAAGTGAAGTTGTCGCTAGCTGATAATGTATGTATTCTAATAATGATTACGAACGACCTGCGAGTCCGGCGTGACGTTGGTGGGAACCTTAACTGACAAGGGGTGAGGAGCTAAAATACCCTTTAACTGAAGGCCTTAAAGTAGTGAATGTTGTCGCATGCGGATCAGCAGAGCGTGGGGCGCGGCAGCGGGCGCACGAGGTACAGCTTCTCGCCGTGCTTGTTGGTGTAGATGGGCGCGCGCTGGTAGTGCGCCACCAGCAGCTCCAGCGAGGGGAACTTGCGCTGGCCGATGCAGTAGGCGCCGCCCTCCACGTGCACGCGGAAGTGCTTGTTGCGCGCGGGCGCCTTGAGCGACACGGAGTAGTCGCCCGCGTTGGTCTCCGAGTCGCGGATGAGGAAGTCGCCGTCGTGTCCGTGCTGGTTGAGCAGCGCGTCGCAGTGCGTGCGCGTGATGGCGCCGTAGTACCAGGCGCGGCCGGCGGGCCCGCGGTCCGGGGGCCGCTCGGCGTAGGGCAGCGCCAGGTAGTCGGCCAGCTCCTGCAGGTAGTTGCGCGGCACGAGGCCCAGGCGGCCGCGGTGGTCGCGCGCGCGGTACCACTCGGGGTCGGAGGGCGGCCGCTCCACGATCTCCAGCCGGTCGCCCTTCTCGAACGACAGCTCCTGCTCGTTGTTCGACGAGAACGAGTACAGCGCCACCTGCCGCCGCGACAACACCACACGTTACCAATTATCTCAAAATGCTATAAACGGTGCGGGAGAGGGCAGGCCCATCCTATTCCTCAGTCACAAGGACGCGAGGTCTGGTAAACATCGAAACGTGTTGCAAGAACAAACAATAGTGATAGGTTCGAGTGTAAATTTAATTCGATCCTGGGTACAGAGGTTACGAGTAAACTATGAACGGGGCTATGAACACCCTAGATCATATTGAATTAGTACTCACAACAATGTCCAGAACGTTTTCAGCCATCGCGTAGGTGTGCACGGGGTCTTCATTGTCACCTTCTTCGCTCGTGTAATTCGATGGAAACCTATTAAACAAAGAGAGCGTCATACGTAGGGTCCACCTGTACTGTAGGTTCACAGACCAAGAGGCCACCGGGGGCCGCGCACTGACCAGCCGGTGTGTCCCTGGTACTGGCCGCGCCACCAGCCGTCGTTGCTCTTCTCCAGGATGAGGATGCGCGTGCCCTTGGTGAGCGAGAGCTCGTCGGGTTGCTGCGCCTGGTAGTTGTACTTGACGAGCGCCGCCCCCAGCGCGTCGCCGGCGTCCGTCCGTCGGGCGGCGCTGGGGGACTCGGGCCCCGCCCCGCGCACCGGCGAACTGTTCGACGGGAGTGTCTTCGAGCCCGAACCCTTCTTCACTTTCTTCTTAATACTGGAAGAAACGAAAGTCAACCAACAGTCATACATATACCACAAATATTTTTGCTTTATTTAATGTCTAAACTAGATTGAAAAAATGTCTTTTTTATATTTATTGCAATTACATATTCTAAACACGACACTAACAAAATTTAAAATATTCACTGAGTAAAACTCTTTTACTAAAACTAACCTGTCAAAAAGCGATGGTTTCTCTTTCTTGACATAATTGCTGGGCACGTAACCAGACTGGCTGCGAGCATTCTGCACGCGCCACCAGTGTTTCGAATCGTCAAGCAGAAGGTACCTCTCGTTTTTACGAAGATCCAACTCTTGGGCACCTTGAGCTGCATAATCGTACTTTGCTACAACATAGCACACGTCATCCTGAAATGTATTTAAGCCTATTATTACAATAAGCGGATTGATTTTTACACACATCTGAAGTCAAATGAATGTTATTTGTTATTTTTGTACAGCAACGTAAAACAAACATCAATCGTCAAATGTGAGGCTGTTGACCTTCTTGGTTAACAGATTTTGTGAAATCACTAACAAAATTTCCAAGGTTTATTGTCTTTGTTGAGTTATAATATGTCTGTTGACTCTCAGGACACCACAATACGATGCAGTTACCAGTATCACATAATTTTATTAAATATTATAATAGAAGTGAAAAAAACAGTACGGAAAATAGGCAAATGCATCCTTCAATTCTAAGCCATAGAATACAAAGAATTCTGTCAAATACTAGGTGTTTTGTCTTTGTACAGATTTTGGTAGGCCATATTATGAGTCTACACATATGGGTACTAACACCCTACTGATTTCTGCTGTGAAGCAATCACACATTCTGGTTTGAAGGGTAGAATAACAGCTCTTGGGATTTATGTTGAAGGTAGGTCGCGAAATTCATGGTGTGTCAATTGTAGAATGTTTTAGACAAATTACAATTCAAGTAATGAAGTTGAACAAACAAAATTAACTTGAAAAGTTTTTTGTAAGCAGTTCTTTCCTTTCTTTTATGGTCATCCCATTCTTGGATAGACTGAGCTGAGTTCTAAACGAAAAAGGTTTTCCATACATGTCACCTGGAAACCATGGCTGTATTCCGCATTGAGATAATTTAAGGTTTTTAATATAGAATGCACAACCTAACGTAACAGCCCTTCAAAATATGATGGGCAGGTAGGTTGATTAATACAAGATAATGATATTGTATCATATCATTCATTCAAATTTAAAATTTTAAACTATTATAGGATCAATAATACACAAATAATAATTCTACTTAATTGCATGTATAAATTCTTCAATCTTCTATAATAAAAATTGCTATCTAGTTTATTTACTTTATTGCATTGATGGGACATCTGCATAGACATCACAATGCTGAAATTAACTATATATAACTATATACTAGCATCCATTTGAAGGTTCGCATAGTCGATTATGTGTCTTAACAAATTGATTTTAACCCAATTTACTACAGCTGCAACCAAGAACTACCTCTTTATAAAGTTTCTTTGTGTGGCAGTATTTCAGTTTCGTCAGGCATCATGAAATAGTAAATATTTGTGATGTGATTGATATGATACTAGTATTTTCAAGTGATAAATATATTCTTGAAAATTTGCATAAACTAATATATAAGAAAAAGTTGCTTCCAAAAAAAACAATACAGCATTTCTTCAGATTTTAAGTCAAAGGGCTCCTAAAATTTGACTTTTTAACACTAAGCATATATAGGTCTATTTAACCATTTAGAGCTTTTGTAAAATTTATATAGCTTAATACATTTTTCAAACGATAATACAGTCCTTAGAATATGCATATACATAATATTTTCAACTCTTTACTTCTAGTTATTTTTTCTCTTTTCCAAGAAAAACCAGACTAAAAAACAATTTCATGCAAAAATAAAGAAGTTCACAAACTTCTCTACATACATAACTACAGTTATATATGATTTTTTTTAAACCAAATACAAAAGACAACTTAACAACATCCAAACCAACTGCCTCTTAACTTTCTACAAGAAAGTCACAAATGAAATCTCAAGTGGCACACTACACTTTAATTGGATCAACTTTTAATCTTGGATTGGATTTTAATTTTAAATATTTATCTTTATTTATGGATACCTACTTTGTTTTTGGACAAGAGACTGAATCTCTACCTGTTGCATAAGCATATCTGATTTCGGTTTACAGATTTGCAGATTAATAACAGAAAAAAAAGAATCATTAAAATATTAAAAATGATTTTTTAATTAAAACTTAAGTTGCCTGAGTGTGGTAGGAATAGGTATACAATAACTCTCAGTATGTTCAGTGTTAAAATATTTATAATTTCTACATATCTTATCATTATCAATGTTTATTTACTGATATATATTTACTAAAGTATACATTGATTTGTTCATTGTGGTTGTTTTTAGTAGACTTAAAATAAATCCAATATAAATCCAAATGGGGTTTATAACTCTTGAAAACTTCTCATAACCACTGGGTGGTTTCAAAACTGATCTGAATACTAAACCATCAGAAGATACTCGAGCAGTAGCTCTGTATATAGTGATAATGATAAAAAGCGTATAATCTATTGTATTAAACTTGCTCATGTATATTCTTGATCACCTATCAGTCTGAGTACACACCTGAGCGTTCTTCCCGTGCCTCGTATTGGCCATGGCGTTAGGTGCTGGCAGCGGCTTACTAGCCCACACCGAATCTGCGGCGCGCGCCGACCGCGTCTCCAGCATGACACCCTCAGCGGGTCGCCTTCGGCCGCTGGCCTTTCACTGATACATTGCAACGCCCACTAAACTACACTCACTGTTTGACGCTGACGGACCGATTAGTCTCAAAGTCTCTGCAATGTAGAGACAGCGAGCCTCCGAATTGTTTTGATTAATTAAGCCTTGCGAATCTTGGATCAAAAGTAAACTATCTGCAGCTGAACATTCCCGTAGCACCCGAGTAAGGTCTAAGAATACTAGGTTCTTAAGAAAATTTTCTGAGCTTACAGAATATCTATTGCATTTAATTGTAGCTATTTTATTGAATTTTTCAATGAAAACCTTAAAAACTAAATTTTTTTAATAAATGATTTCACTTTCCTCCACAGATCTCGGTGGGGCAAACGACGGATCAATAGACAATTCAATTTTTTTCCATAAAAAAATTGATTTCATAGACAATATTAGAAATTACTTTTTTTTCCTACCTAAGCTGATGATCTAGAGAGAATTAGCGTATCCGAGCCAGTAGGTAGGTGAGCTCACGGGGCTCAAACCTGCCGATGTTTCTAACGTGAACCGTAGCAAGAGCCGTGCTTCGCAGAATCTACCACCGGATCGGAAACGCGATCCACTGAGAAGATCCAGCGAGAAACCCAGGCTAGAAATTACGATTTACGAAGCATGCTTGATTATAGGAGAGAACTTAGAGTCAATACTCTTAGATCTGTTTTATTTTTGTTTGGTCTGATAAAACACAAAAGTAAGCCATCAGTTTTAGTAACATAATTATTCTGACAGGAACGCGAAAAGAGAAGTTTGTGGTTTTACTGTGAAACATCTCTATGACGAGTCGTCATGTGCAAGCAACTGTTTCTTAATATTAATGTTTTCTTTTTCATTATTCCACATGGATTTTCTGTCTTATAATATCCTTGCATCTATACCCATACAAAATAATATGCTTTACATCTGCCAGCCGTCCCAGAATGGAAATTTTTATATGCAAAATTTGTTAGATTTGGGACCAAATAAAGTAGCTCTTCTTCTAAAATTATAAAGCTTAGAATTTTCGGCGAATAAATAGAAGTTTTTAAGTTGAACACAAAATAACGAAAACTTAAGCTAGTGCAAGTTAAAAGAGTACAAATTTTTTTGTGAATCAAATTTGAAGGCCCTTCTAAAACTCCATACTCCATGCTCATTTAGCTTTAAAAACATATATTATGCGTGTAACTCACACGTGGTAGAAGTGAAATCTTAAAAAATTTTGGTTTCAAGTTAATGTAAAATTTCAGGGAGAGGATAATTATGTATGTTTTAAAATAGTAATGATCATAGTGATACAAAGTTTGATATTTATTTTACACTTTATTCGTTTAAATTACATAGATTTATTAAATATGTATTAAGTACGAATATTAGGTACGAAGCAGAGCACAAAGAGAACCACGAATTTAAGAAACACTAATGCTACTTCATTTTCTCCCACGTTAAATCTTAAACATTTAAGTGTCTGTCTCTTTCTACTGTCGCTTTTTCTGTTCATCGACTTTCGAATCACAACGATGATAAAGAAGCTTTCACTTAAAAAAGACAATAACATTTTTTTTGCAATAGCAGTTTAAAACTGTTGATGACAAACGTGTTTCGCATTTTACTCGTATTATTAGTTTATCAAGGTAACATGAACAAAAATAAGTTTGTGGAATAGAATTTTAAATAGACGTATTCCTACCGTTAGTATACCGAAATAAGGTCTAAAAGGAACATGACTGAATGATTTACATTTATAAAGAAAAAAATTATAGAGATGGGATTAAAATGCAATGAGATTTTTTTTGTAAATTTGGCCTTAATTTGAAGCAGAAAACAATTTTTTAATTAGAATTGCGTTTTATTTTAATCAGAAATGGTTTGAGAAGTGCAAAAAATAGGTACCTAGCATATTTTGTGGTTTTTTCTTCGCGGCGAGGGTAAATAATCAGTTGGCCTAGGGCAGATTATCTATTTTCTCAATGGTCACACTATAAGTGTATAATCTATGGGTCACACTGTTTCGTGACGTTTGTTGCGTGTTCGTTTTATAGAAATAAGTTTACATAGTTAAATTAGTAAATATTACCTAAATGGTTCGAATGCATTCGTTTTAAGTAGTAATGTCGGATTCGGAAGGTAGTAACTATTCGGGGAGTGGGTCCGAGGCAGGCAGTGTTGTATCAAAACAATCACATCGCAGCGCTGCATCGAATCGGTCGGCAAGATCGCGTTCTATCTCTCGATCAAGGTCCAGGTCGCGTTCTGGAAGCCGTAGCCCCTCTAGGACTCCATCCCGCTCACGATCTAGGTCTCGCTCTAGGTAAAATCCGGGTAGTCTAAGTAAATAATAAGTTTTCCGTGTATCTTTTCATTTGACTTTATGAGGGTTGTTTTGTTTCACAGAAGTCGTTCAGTAGGTTCAGATACAAGTAAAAATAGAGATGATGAAGCCAAAGAAGCATCTGGCGATGAAGAAGTGGAGGTAACGCATAAATAACATTCAATATTGAAATTGTAGATAACTTTCTGTTTGGGCTATACAATATTTTATGAAACTGTATCAACAGGATGAACAAGAGCCCGAAGGTGAGGATTTGGTGGATTCTGAGGAGTATGAAGAAGACGAAGAAGAGGAGAGGCTGAGGAAGAAAAGAAAAAAGGACAGTCGTTATGGTGGATTCATTATTGACGAAGCTGAGGTATGCAATTGAAATTGGTTTTCATTTGTCTATGCTACTAAATTTGAGGTTAATATAAAAAACGAGATTACAAAGAAAAGTTTAAAGAATTTTTTTGTGTGTCATTTTCATATATAAAATGTGATTAATTAATGCTACTTTTCATTTGATGTGGACTTTTCTGCATTATTGTATATATAATTTTACCACACACTGTATCCGTGAATAATGCAGATTAAAGCTGTGATATTAGTTATAATTTAGCTAACCGTGACAATATAATTTAGAACATTGCTACATAGTGTGCCTGCCTATTCACACAAAAATCATAATTCAACATAAGCCTTAGAGCTAAGATGAACGATTGAAGATTTACTATTTCATAAACAGTGTTTTAAGTCACTGCTACTACTACTACTCTCCTTAGTTGATTTTGGCCACGGTGACCACTTCAAACTCCATTTATAATTGTCACAGTGTGATGTGGCTGTGCTGTGGCTAACATAGCCGATCTTATTCCTATGTCAACTATTGTATATGTTATTTTTGTTGCCATATATTGGCTGTCAAATTTCTGATTTACTGAATTCTGATGAGGCTATAGGGCTCTTAGACATAACAAATAGCACTCATTAGCTCAAAACTTCAATAAAATGAGTAATTGAAGATACTGTATCAAATAGTGAGTAGTACTAGTAATAGTGAATAGTAAATCATATAGTGAGTTCTTGAAAGAGCATAAAAAGTACTATATAAAATAAATTGAAATAACTTTATCTTGTAGGTGGATGATGAAGTTGATGAAGATGACGAATGGGAAGAGGGAGCCCAAGAAATGGGTATTGTAGGAAATGAAGTAGATGAAATTGGGCCAACAGCTAGAGAAATTGAAGGTCGAAGAAGAGGCACTAACCTTTGGGATTCACAGAAAGAGGAGGAGATTGAAGAATATCTTCGAAATAAGTATGCAGATGAATCAGCAGCCCTCAGACACTTTGGTGAAGGTGGAGAAGAGATGTCTGATGAAATAACTCAGCAAACTCTACTGCCTGGTATCAAGGATCCAAATTTGTGGATGGTCAGATGTAGGATTGGAGAAGAGAAGGCTACTGTTTTACTTTTGATGCGAAAATTTATTGCTTTCCAATTCTCGGAAGAACCTTTTTTGATAAAGTCAGTTGTAGCACCAGAAGGAGTCAAAGGCTATGTGTACATAGAGGCTTTCAAGCAGACACATGTTAAAAACATTATAGACAAAGTGGGAACCCTTAAGTCTGGAGTGTGGAAACAAGAAATGGTGCCTATTAAGGAAATGACTGATGTTCTCAGAGTAGTCAAAAAGCAATCAGGACTTAAACCTAAACAATGGGTCAGATTAAAACGAGGTTTATACAAAGATGATATTGCTCAAGTTGACTATGTAGACTTGGCACAGAATCAAGTGCATTTGAAACTACTTCCTAGAATAGATTATACAAGACTGAGAGGAGCTTTAAGAACAGTACAGAGCGATAGTGAAGCAGCAAAGCGAAAGAAAAAGAGAAGGCCTCCTGCTAAACCCTTTGATCCAGAGGCAATCCGAGCGATCGGTGGAGAAGTTACTTCCGATGGTGATTTCCTCATATTTGAGGGCAATAGGTACTCTAGGAAAGGATTTCTGTATAAAAACTTTACAATGTCGGCGATACTGTCAGAAGGTGTCAAGCCTTCACTTACAGAGTTGGAAAGATTTGAAGAGCAACCAGAAGGTATCGATATTGAGTTGGCTGCTCCCGCCAAGGACGACCCTGCCGGCTTGCATTCCTTCTCCATGGGTGACAATGTGGAAGTCTGTACTGGAGATCTTGCGAACTTGCAGGCCCGCATCACTGCGATCGACGGTTCGATGATCACTGTCATGCCAAAACACGATGGTCTTAAGGACCCAATTGTCTTCCATCCGAATGAGTTGCGCAAGTACTTCAAAATGGGTGATCACGTGAAAGTGGTGGCTGGGCGTTACGAGGGCGACACAGGCCTCATAGTGCGCGTCGAACCGCACAGGGTCGTGCTTGTTTCCGACCTCACCATGCACGAGCTTGAGGTGCTGCCCCGTGACCTACAGCTCTGTTCAGACATGGCGACTGGCGTTGACTCCCTCGGACAGTTCCAGTGGGGAGACATGGTGCAACTGGATCCACAGACCGTCGGAGTTATCGTGCGCCTCGAGAAAGAGAACTTCCACGTGCTCGGCATGCAAGGCAAGGTCATCGAGTGCAAGCCGCAAGCGCTACAGAAACGCCGCGAGAACCGGTTTACAGTCGCGCTCGATTCCGAGGAGAACACGATTCAGAAGCGCGACATCGTTAAAGTAATCGACGGGCCGCATGCCGGACGCGACGGTGAAATCAAACATCTCTACCGGAACTTCGCCTTCCTCCAGTCGCACATGTACCTCGACAACGGCGGCATCTTTGTGTGCAAGACGCGCCACCTGCAGCTGGCCGGTGGAGCCAGGGGAAATAATGCCACCGCCGCCGGACTCACGCTCGGCTTCATGTCGCCGCGGATAGCTTCTCCTGCACACCCAGGGGCCGGCAGGGGAGGCTCCACCCCTCGCGGCCGTGGGGGCCGAGGCGGCGGCGGAGGTCGAGGCGTCACTCGGGATCGCGAGCTCATTGGCCAAACCATTAAGATCACGGGGGGACCATACAAGGGAAACGTCGGGATCGTCAAAGACGCGACCGGCAGCACCGCGCGCGTCGAGCTGCACTCCTCCTGTCAGACCATCTCCGTGGACCGCGGCCACATCGCCGGGGCGGGGGCCGGAGCTGCGACCGGCGGGGCCTCGTCCTACTCGCGCACGCCGTCCCGCACGCCGGCCGCCGGCGCCGCTACCCCCACGTACCGCGACACGGGCATCAAGACGCCTATGCACGGCGCCGCTACACCCGTCTACGAGGTGGGCTCGCGCACGCCGCACTACGGGTCGTCGACCCCGGCGCACGAGGGGTCGCGCACGCCGGCGCACGGGGCCTGGGACCCGAGCGGTGCCGCCACCCCGGCGCGACCGGACTTCGACTACGAGCCGGACGCGTACGGCGCGGGACCGTTCACTCCGCAGACGCCGGGCGCCATGTACGGCTCGGACCACACGTACAGCCCGTACAGTCCGGGCCGGTCGGAGGGCGAGTCGGCGGAGGCGGGTGCGTGGGCGGCACCAGAGCTCGTGGTGCGTCTGAGAGCGGGAGCTGCGGACGGTCTGGCCGCACAGACCGCGGTGGTCCGTGCGACCGGCGGGGGCTCGTGCGCGTTGTACTTACCGGCGGAGGAGCGAGTGGTGTCCGTGCCGCCGGACTTGTTAGAGCCGGTGCTGCCTCAGGCGGGAGAGCGCGTGAAGGTGATCGCGGGAGAGGACCGGGACGCGGTCGGACAACTTATCTCCATCGAAAACCAAGAGGGAGTCGTCAAATTCGGCACCGACGACATCAAAATCATGCAACTACGTCATCTTTGCAAGATGGCCTCTTAATTCTATCGACCGGTAAATACCTCACAATTGTGTTAATTGTATTTTCATCTTCTGTGGGAGACGTAAGTTGCTTATGTTTTTCTCAAATGAAGAAATAACTAAATAAAAAAATGTAAAATATTCGAGTTTTTTAATGAAAAATTAGGAATTAATTAAATGTGTAATAAAATTAATCAGGCAGCCATAAATTATTTACGAAAAACGGACGCTCCGAATTGAAAACTCACTTTGTGAATAGAAGTCGAGTAAAAAGAAATCAAGAGCAACAACAACAATATCACATTTAAAATTTGGAAAAAATCTATCGAAATACTCAGATACTGCTGTTTGTTACATAAAAAATAGTGAATAAAGTGTTAATTCAATTTACCAAGGAAATTTTTCTTTTGCCGTGAAAACCTAGTAACAATTCGCTTAGTAACAGTAACTCTAAAAAGACATTACGACGTATAATGTAACGGATTAAAAATGTTGACGACGGTCAGTCTTCGGCTTTACTGAAGTCAGAAACGTTTGAAGTTGCGCTCGTGTGGACCCAGCCTGGTGCTAGGATCCTAATCTTGTTCCCAGAAACATTCTTGGTTATGGAACATAATGTTAGCGACCTTTTCAATTGTCGGATCTTGATACACCCGGAGATTTAATTTTAATTTCATTACCTTTTTTAAAATTAGTACTAACCTTCTGTAATACTATCAGAGCAATTTCGTTATTGTCTCACTCCGCTACAATTTAATATCAGAAAGATATGAACCAAAAAATGGCGCCAAAATTAACTTAGGTAGGTACCGTACTATAAATCATATGAGAATGACAGGTTCCAAATTCAATTGTGCTCAGTAAAATTGTTGTAATTATCGTTGTGTCTATGGCCAGACGGGGGTATTCTGTTTTTTTATTGCTTAGATGGGTGGACGAGCTCACAGCCCACCTGGTGTTAAATGGTTACTGGAATCCATAGACATCTACAACGTAAATGCGCCACCCACCTTGAGATATAAGTTCTAAGGTCTCAAGTATAGTTACAACGGCTGCCCCACCCTTCAAAACAAAACGCATTACTGCTTCACGGCAGAAATAGGCAGGGTGGTGGTTTGCAGGTTTGATTTTTATTACCAAGATGTTATTCCTTCACCGTGGAAGTCAATCGTGAACATTTGTTGAGTACGTATTTCATTAGAAAAATTGGTACCCGCCTGCGGGATTCGAACACCGGCGCATCGCAAAAACGAATGCACCGGACGTCTTATCCTTTAGGCCACGACGACTTCTAAACAACATCTATCTTTCAATTTAATCTTGTATCAAAAATTAGTATTTAATTTAAAATATTTCTAAACTGAAGATGCACGAATCAGAAATGCGGAGACTATTTTTAAATTTATAAATTTTACATTTCCAAAATTAAGGAGGAAAACTCAACTCAAAAAGGCTTCCCAGGGATAAATTAATTATAATAAAAATTGTTATCCGCAGCCGGTCCTGTCAATTTGTCTATAGGTTAGTCATCTACTAGTCAACGTCAAGTCTACGTCTACTCATACTGCGCATCTGGACGTGGACGCTAATGTCCTTCTGCGAGTTCACAGCGGCCGCGACACCGGATACTATTATAGAACTTCTACAGATTATTAAGTAAACAAACAAATGTATGATTTTATTAACATTTATTGAATAAATAATACAAAAATTGGTTTTCAGTTGCATCATTCTAAATTCTAGAACAACGAAAATAATAAGACAGTCATTATAAATGAGCAAAAAACTCCTACGTTTTATATCTAATCTCAAATTTACACATCGAAAAATATTGCGTCGCCTCACCAGGCCTACTACACACAACGGAGGAATTTCGAAAGGAAATCGATTCTAATAAATAATATTTCTTATTAACCTATATTGACACCTTATTAACATCGCCAATTCATCATCTATTTACCAAAAATATTTATGAGAATTTTTTTAATAAACCTAAAGTTTTCACATCAAATTCAAGATTTCTTATTAGAACAATCTAGAAAGTTTGACAGAACAAGAATCGATTCGTCAGACCTAAATGCGGAGAAAATGCGCTCAAAAAACAAAATGCTCCGTGACGCTTCGTACAATAAATACAAAGTAATATATTATATATATAGTTCGAAGTAACACTGACTAGCCTCTAGTACCAGATGTTATTCGTTACATTATTCATCAATAAAACTAAATAACAATTTCTCTTAATCATCTGCATGTCGACTGTCGTCAGCGCCTCGCGGACCCATGCTCTCTCTAATGTTCCTGAATATTTTACAACACACGATCCAATATATAGAATGAAATGTTTAACGAGAGATTTCCGCGTCGCGCCACAGAACAACAGTCGACATCAAATATTCGCACCAAATCATAAAAAAAAAACAAACAATTATCCATTTACGATCTAAACTATTATGCAATAAGTGGGGGGCACCCACTGACTACGCGACACTAGACCCCTCCCAACTACACTACGACATATGAGACGGACTCGGAAAAAAGTAATATATGTTTAAATTGACTCCCAGTATGTTTTTAATAATTCCAGTTTAGTAATGATAATATTCTAAATATACATGTTAAAATAATAATCTATCTCTGAATACATAATGTAGACAATTTGTATTATTTCTTGTGTTACTTATTTGTAATTTGAATTACGCATTGACAGGGAGAGGGTAAGTATTCCAGGAGAGATGAAGAGTGAGCCTCTCGGAGGGTCAGCACGGGGCACCAGTATCAACCTCGCGGCCACATATTTTTACTCAGTCATCTGTTTTTTCCTTTAGCAACCGGCTGACTGGCGAGTCCTCCACTTGGGAACCTTTCATCAGGGATTCGAACAGGAATTAATTAAGGGTTTATGTTACAATAGTGGTGGCGGTACTAAGACGGGAGGGGGAGGAGTCGTAGCTTCACGGGGAAGATTCTATTTTAAATATAATTATCTGAAATGTATTACAATAATCAAAGCACATACAGATTGTGTAAAGAGAACTTCTAGGCCACGAATACATAGATATAATTATATCAACATTTTACATTGAAAAATTAACATAATAATTGTAGACGCACACTAATATTTACATGATTTGTTATTTAACAGCTAATAATATTATGAGTATGTAGTGCGGGGGCCGCCCCCTCGGGGGACAGCCCCCCCCCCCCTCCGGGGGGACAACGGGGACCGTCCCCTCGGGGGAGACATAGCGGGGGCCATCCCCCGGGGGACACAGCGTGAAGTGCCCCTCGACCACAATTAACTAGAACGGCCACGGCCAAAGTAACTCAATTTAAATCTGATACTATGGTGAATATTACCTATGTGGTATATACTTTTATCAACATGTTCTATCGAAAACGTACTCAAATAATTGCCTAATTATTTCGATTACAAATTTCGAGTTAATTTACACGTGTACTAAAATTACACAACACAAGTCGCACTACTCGTCGAGTCGACAAGCCACGTCGCGCCTCGCGGGAATGGGTGACGACTGCACGACACAGCTGCCGGTGCCGACATGCCGGAGGAGTGTTATGAGATGTAATGATGGAAATGAATGGTTCTAAAATATAATTTCCTGAATAGTAACACAAATAACCTTAGGAGTCTACCGGGTGTGCGGCGGGGGGTGCGGGGCGCGGTCAGGACGCGTACATCCGCTTGATGTCCTCCTTGTACCGCTCCTGGATGTCCTTGCGCTTGATCTTGAAGGCGGCGGTGACCAGCCCCATGTCTGGCGACCAGACCTCGGTGCACAGCTTGACGGCGGCGGGCACCTCGAACTTCTCGAGGCCGCACTTGCGCGCGTGCTCGGCCAGCTCGGCCAGCACGGCGCGCTCCAGCGCGGGCTGCGCGTACAGCGCGGGGGGGTCGGCGCCCGCGGGCAGCTGCAGGCGCTGGGCGAGCGCGGCCAGGCGCGGCGCGTTGGGCACGACCAGCGCCACGGTGTGCGACTTGCTGCTGTCGCCGTACACGCAGATGTTCTCCACGATGGGGCACGTCTTCAGCTCGGCCTCCACCTTGCCCAGCGACACGTACTCGCCGGCCTGCAGCTTCACCAGGTCCTTCTTGCGGTCTGCAACACGAGCGCGCGGGGGGCGAGGGTCAACATCGTGCAATACGGTACGGTACAACATAAAGAAGTCATTTAGGCCGACTCGGCTAGTCGGCTGGTGCCGCACGCCGGAGGAGAGGGAGGGACGCGGCGGTGTCGTGTGGTAAGTAAGTACCACCTTCTTGCCTATTTCTGCCGTGAAGCAGTAATACTTTTTGGTTTAAAGAGCGGGGCAGCCGTTGTACTGTAGACTGAGACTTAGACTAATGTCTCAAGGTAGGTGGCGACATTTACGTTGCAATGTATATACATTTACGTTGCAATGTATATGAACTCCGGTGCCCGTTTGACACCAGGTGAGCCGTGAGCTCTCCACTCCAACCCACAGTAGTTATCTTATAATTAATTTTGCCCTCAAATGACGTCACATGTTAATTTAGCTGTCAACTATTCCACATAAACAATACTGACCAATAATCTTAATACATCCATCGTCATGCAGCTCCCCGATATCTCCGGATTTGAACCAGCGTCTCCCCTCGGCGTCGATGAATTCCTCCTTCGTCTTCTGCGGGTTCTTGTAGTACCCCTCGGCGACGCAGTCACCGCCGATTATGATCTCGCCCTAGAAATGAACGCCCAAATGAATAGGCTGGTTGGAGCGGGTGG